AAACCAGCAGGTGAAAGGTAAAGGACTGGATTGCGTGATGAGATACATTACGAGCGATTACTCCTGTTTCTCCTGTTAACTCCCTCGCGCACGCGGCGTAATGCGTTATTAAACAGCTGTTTCTGGGAGTCTGATGGGAAACTCGCGCAAATTGCTCGTTTGAGAATTGTGGATGTCCTTTGATTATTCGAATTATTTGTCATTTCTATGAAGAATATGTACATATGTTGGAAAACATTTGGATTTTTATTTTTGATATTAATTGATTAATAACTATTATTATAACTATTATTATAATAATTTTTATTATAATTATTATAATTACATTATAACTTTTTTTATATAACTAATATGTATTTAGTATATAATAAATATTGACATATAATTTAAAACATACAATTTTTCAAAATTGGATTTATTTGTTATTGAGTTTTAAAAATTAGAATTATTGTATATAATTAAAATTAGAATTAAATATATAATTAAAATTAGAATTATTGTATATAATTAAATACCATATATTTACTGTATAAAATAAATTTGAAAAAATTGATGTAATTCTTATAAATTTGCAATTTGTAAAGAATCGTGAAGAAAGTAAAAGATTTTTTATCTAAATCTCTCTAAATCTGAAAATTTAAAAAATAGATTTTGAGGATTTATATTCATGTTGAAAATTTCATTAAAATCGGTTAATGTTACAAACAATTATGAATCGCAATTTTTTCATAACTTTCATTGTAAAAAAAAATCTAAAAATTTTTATATCTTTCAATACTTATTGCTTGTTTCACATCAATCAATGAAATTAATACATAAATCTTCAGAATGTGTTTTTTAAATTTTTATTACAAATTTAGTAATAAAAATTGTGAAAAATGATCTTCAGCATTTCTTCAATTTCGATGAATTGCAATTTTTTCAAAATTTTTTTATCATCTAATAAACTAATTTTTGTAACTTTTCAACACAACACATTAAATCCAATTTTAAAAACATTATCGTGTTTTAAAAGATATGCCAATAAAATTATTGCAGTATAAATATTATATATATATAATGTTTATATATATTTATATGTAATATATATATGTAATATTTTTTGCCTAAAATAAAGACAAATAGATAATATGATTAAATATCAGTCTATTTTATCATAAAAAAAATTGAATTTCAAATTCAATGAAAAAATTGAAAATGATTTAAGAATGAATTTCAAATTAAGAAATAATAGAATAAAAATTGAAATAATAGAATATTTTGATGTTCTTTAAATAATAGAATATTTTGTATTTCTTAATCGTTGATCATCTTTGAAAAAATAAAAATAAATTTAAACATTAAATTAATTATTTTTTCAAAGCATTATTTAAGCTTTTTATATATAAATTCTAATAACAGTTTTGAGAAAAAATATAAATATCAGATGCAAAGCAAGTTTTTAATTTTTTAAAAGATTGTCTGTTTTACTAAGTAACACGTAAAATATTCTCCAAAAAATTTGTAAATATAATTTAGAATACATGTTATATAAATACATAGATTTACAAATAACAATTTCAAACAATTGAATGTTTTAAACTATACTTTTCACTTATTAAATATTTCTATTTGAAGTGATATTTTTGAAGTGAATACTTCTGTATACTTTAACTAATCATATAATTTATTCTATGATGTTGTTTTCGATATTTTGAATCACTTATTACATACATTGATTCTTGATTTTAAAAATTATATTTTAGAGTTTCTTTTTATTTGTTAGTGATTTTGTTTTATTATATATATTATTTTTATTTAATATAATAAAAAATTCTGATTTTTAATTTTCTATAATATACTATGATCTAAAATATTTTCATGTGTTTATCATTCAACTAAGAAGATAGAACTTTATTTGAAATTTTAATCTATTGATATTTGAAATTAATTTAAATGTTTATCTAATCTTATTTTTTAAAAAAATATCTAAGAAAAATATTAGTTATATAATTTGAAATTTTTGTGAAATTGAAATTTTGTTCCAAAAAGTTAAATAAAAGTTGTAACAAAAAAAATATTAATTACATTATTTGAATTATTTGTAATAATAAAGTTCTACATTACAAACTTTTTTATTTTTATAATTTTATTTTTATTAGATTTTATTTATTATTAGATTTTACAAAATAATTTTCTCCTCTTTATTAAGTTCTATTTATATTATAAATGCTTTTTTAAAATTTTGATTTTCACTATATAATAACTCTACATAACAAAAAAATTTAGATAATTAGAATTATATTTAGATAATTAGAATTATGAAATGATTCATTAAAAATTAATCAAAATTTAAAACTAAAAAAAAATACAATTTTTAAGTAAAATTCTTCAGAAATAATATTCCAAATAATATTATCCTATGAATTTTCTTGCTTTATTTTCATAAAATTTCATAACGTAATAAAAAATTTCTTACATAATATTATTAATTTATCAAATGTATATTTAAATTATAACAATCGAAAACAAATTATTTGCTATTTTATCATGTTTAATTTGTTAAATACGGATTATTTATATCATAATTCATATTCAACGATCAAAAATTCACGATAAAAATTATTCCTATCGTATTAAAATTTTATTGCATTTAAGTTTTTTATCAATTTTTTTTATCATAAACTACGAAGAGAATTTCAATTGTTAAAGAGCATGTGCAGAAATGATGCAGATCAATCCTTATACATAAATTTCATACTATATCAAGGATTTATTATTAGCATAATTCTTTCAAGACTCTTCTCTTGATCCTGTTTCGTAATTTCATTTTGGTGTGTCTTCTTTTCTCAGACAAGGTCCATTCTTATTCCCGTCACGGCTTTGAGTAGCGTCATTCAGGAGACGGTATTTGAGCGTAGAAGTGAGGAATGAAATAGAAAACCGACGGACGAATATAAATGAAGAAAATGAAAGTAATGGATATCAAGAAGTCGATAAGAACTTCATTTCATTTCATGATTATTGTACTTGCATTGTTTAATGTAGTATATTTGAATCATTTTAATATTATGTATATTATACATGTATCGTTGCACTTAAATATGATAAAAAATGAAAAGAACAATTATAGTTATAAATCGTGATTTTAAAATCCAATTTTCGACTTTAAAAACATATCGCAATTTTTCAAATGATTAAACATATTGATATTAATTGATAAATCGTATGAAATTAATTTTTCACGAGTTTGAAATTTCTGCGTTTACATTAAAAATGGATTATGAATTTTTTTTAAATGTTAGCCTAGATGTTTTAATTTATTTATTTATTGAAATTTTCATCGTATAGAAATATAAATATAAATAATATATAGTGAAAGTGTAAATTTGTTTTTATGAATTTTTACAAAATTGTGAATAAGAAATTTATTTTTATTGAAATTTTGTTTTTTAAAATTTAAAAATAACATAATTTTCTGAGAAATTTTCTGTTAAAACTAAATAAATGTCAATAATAATAATAATTTATTCATATTCATATTCATATATTTAATATTATTATTTGTAAAATATATTATATAAGATGTTTCATACTTTTTGAGATAAAAGTAAAATATCAAAAACATGATCTAGACTTGAAAATAAGAATCTTATACAAATTAATACATTCTTAGGACAGTTTAGAGATTCTAGAAAATAAGCACAAAACTTGGTTGATTGTGTATATTATTTATATTGATTATGTTGGTTTGTTAGTTGATTATTAGTAAAATTACTTCAATTTATGTTATATTTGGATTCATTTTAATTGAGAAAACAATTCATTAGTATTTTTATAAATATAAGACGAAAATTATAAAAATTGAAATTTTCTTTATCACATAATAATTCTTTTTAAATTTTGAATTTTGTGTCATCTCTTCGACTCTATTATTGAATGTATCTCGCTTTTTCTGAATATTTTTCATTTTCATCAAATCATTTTATATTTTCTTATTTTGTTAAGCTATTATCTTAAGCTATATTTGAATCTTGAAAAAAGCATAAAGTATTGAAATTTTCATTCAAATATTTAATGGATGATTGATATTTCTATAAAATATCAAATGATTTTTGTCTCAATAATATTAATTTGTTATCATTTTAAAAAAATAAGAAAATAATATCAAGTATACCTAAAATATTAGACTGAAATATGAATAAAAGCAAGTAAAAACTAAATAAAAAATATGAATAAAAGCAAGTAAAAACTTTTATTTAATAGTTTTTCAAATAATTACTTGTTCCATATAAAATAAAGTATTTATTAAAAATAATATTTATTTAAATTTTTCACTAAATACGTAAAATATATATATGTAATATTCATTGAAAACTTTAAGTAAATTTTAGCAAGTTTATCTTAATTTTAATCTCGCTTGTCTTAATTTTTCTTTAGTCATAATCATAGTCATTGTTCATGTAAATTCGAGTTCTCAAGATTTACAAAAGTCGGAAAAACTACATTTTCTAGAAGAACTGTATCTTTAAATTCAAAGAACATCATAGATATATATTTTGATAGATATATTTTTGAATAACGTAGATAAAACCAGAGATAACGAAAGAAGAAAATATTTCTGAAATACATGGTTAATCCTGAAGTTCAACTAAATATTGGTAAAGATTCGTGAAGATTTGTAGGTTTTGATCAGAATACAATTAGTCAAACAATAAATTAAATTGCAAAATCTGTATCAAATACCAAAACTGGATTTATTTAATAATACTAATTTATATTTTAGTAATTATAAAAAGATTCATTGGTTTCTTTCTGAAAATTTAATTTATTTATTAATAAGTACATGATCAAAATAATATAGGTAAATTCTTATATTTAGAAGTGGTTCGAATGTTTGATATGTAAAATTAGCGGAATAATCACATTTCGAAAAATATATTTCCGTTATAAAAAAAAAAAAAAGATATTTGAATCACAAGTACTAATAGCATTTATTTAAGATTTATCATCTAAGTATTAATAAAAATATTAGATACATAAGAAATCTCAGATCAATCTTTACTTTTACTTATACTTAAAACTTATAAGCATTTATTTATTTTTATAATCCGATGACCAATGATATGATTCAATATTTTCCATTCGATATTGAATTATTTGAATATTACCAATACATTAGCGTTTAGAAAGTCGATACAGAATTTAGATAGCAAAGGAGGGAAGAAGGGAGAAAATAGGGGTGGACATTCTGCTAGCATTTCGAAGAGTCAGTCATTCATATACTACAAAAGCTCGCGCCACTCTTTGCCCGAGAATGAAAGATCGGGCGTCGATGGTAAAACGTGTTTCCCTGGACTTTGCTAATGGATTCCGCACTCTGATTTCACCTTCTTCTTTTTCTCTTTTTTATCTTTTTCTTTTTTTCTCTCTCTCTTTTCTTTTTTATTCCATAGTCCACTTAAATCCCATGTAGTTTCCATGTCTTTGTCCAAGTGCATGTATTTGGCGTTCTCGTGGAAAGCAATATACATAATTGAAACACCTCCAGAGAACCCTTTAGCTTCAATCTTCGGGTACAGAGGAGAAAAAATCCGTTTATTGTGTATTTTATAACCGAACGCATCCGACTCTATTAAACCTGAAAGCAATTAAGCGTTCGTTTGTGAAAAGAATCGATACTTTCTCGTTCAATCGTCTTGCTCTTCCACGGAAAAAGAAGGGAAGCGGAAATAAATTTAACACCATCGTCCGTTTGTCATTGATAAGATAGAGAGATATTTTCTTTAGAGTACTTCAACATTTATTTCGTCTTTTCCTTTTATTTTAGCAGTATAAGAAGATGTCTGCTTTGTTTAAGTCTGAAATCTTAACTTTTAAGATTGATGAATGAATCAGTATTTGAACTTATTAGTATTTTCTATTTATATCGTTTGTTCATAATATGAAGTTTAAAATTTATATATAGAAATCCATTAAACTGATATAATAAAATAAAAGATAAAAGAAAGTATCAAGGAAAATGAAATTTTATGAAATGAAATATATGTATTTATTTATTGCATTTCCATCGATTTGAAAAGTTTGAAAAATATAATTTTTTTGTTTTTATATAATATATATTTATATAATTGTATTTTTAATTGCTATTACAATTTTATAATTGTAACTATATACTAAATTTTATAATTTCAACTTCAGATTTTGAAAGAAACTTTTTAATATGTTTGTTGAATGTGTTTAGATGATTCGAGATAATATACAATCAATTCCAAAAAGGTTTTCATACTATTACAAAGAAATTCACATATCATAAAAAATTTGATTTTAATGAAATTTTTTTATGCAATTAATTTTCTGAAAAATCTTTTTAGCTGCGTGAAATCAATTCTCAAATTTTTTTATTTTTTGTTATAATTTTATTTATTTTTTGTATACAAATTTTAGAAATATTTTTCAATAGGATAATAAAGCTGAATATTTTATGGTTTTAAATTAATTAAAATTTTACTTTATCCTGTATCATTACAAAGTTATATTTTTAAAACATGAAAATAATAAGTAATTAATAATAATAAGTAATATTATTATTAATAAAAAAATCATATAATATAGATATTATGATCCATATAATATAATATATATAATCTTACAATTTTATATAAAACAGAATTCATTCGTTTTGATTTAGACACAATCTATATATATATATAAATTGTATATATAAATTGTTCTAAATATTTAAAAAATACAAATACATATATAACTTTTGATTAGAAATTGATTGTTAATCTGATAATATCTAATTTTTCGGATATAATTTCAAAGCAAGGAACATCGATTATCTCCCGATAATTTATTTTTATCCAATTTTAGGATTATATAACGAAGGAAATCCCATCCATCATCGTTCCTTTAATACTCCAAAGCAATTAACTTTGTTTCTGTTTAGTACTTAAATGATACAAGAATCTCGTTATTGCGTTAATACCTCCTATTAATACAGTTTCTAGGTGATAATTAGTCATTGATATCGATTTAAGACATTTATCAGATGCTTTCTATGATTAATCTCTTTAAATATTATCGTTTAACCGGATATGTTTTATCTATAAACAGTTTGCAATAAGAAGAACATTTCTAGCTATTTATATTTCGGATTGTTCATTCGGATGTATCATATTTTATGACGATGTTCTTTCATTCATCCAAATTTCTATGCTGGAATGTAATAAACATTATAATATATTTCTCTTTTTAATTTATATCGATTTGACATTTATTCCAGATGAGCTACATGTTATTTATTAATAAATTTATATTATTAAATCAATAAGTGATTTAATTAATTATCAGCAAATTATTTTTACTGATAAAATTTATAAATGTATGAATGAAATTAATTTTAATTTAAAAGTGTCCTTGTATATGTTTAATTATTATATTGATTCATTTCTATTATTTCATGATAACATTACATGACTAATTTGCGTTATATATATTTACATATTGACTTATTTTTGAATATAAATAAAATAAACTTATCTACAATAAATATTTTTATTAATATTAAATGCGTATTATCATTTCTAGAAAAATGATTAATGCTATATAGTTATATATATTATATTAATCTTAAAATATGTATAAGAAATATGAATTAATATTAAGCCATTTTATAAATGTAATCTTTTTTAATTTAAAGATTTTATAATAATCATTTCTTGGAAATGAAATGGGGAAAATTAATAAAATTAATATTAATACACAAACTCTTTTGTTTAGGATAAGATAACAAAAAAATTAAATAAATATTTCAATTTTAATCCATATTAAAAAAATTAATTATTTCATTATAATAATACATGATAAATATCATTAATTTCTTTCTCTCTACGTTTATTTATTATTTTATATTTTAAAAAAATAAATTTTAAAAAAAATTTATTTTATTTCATTCATAAATTGATTATGTTAAATAAAATATGATTATTTATTAATAGATTATTTATGAATGATTATAAAATGAAATAATAATAATAATAATATTAATTTTATAATTATTATTTCTCAATTAAACAATTAAACAATTAAAATATTATTGATTTTTTCATAAATTATATAAATATAAAATAAAAAAATTTTACTGTATTAAGTTTTATAAACTAAGTTTTATTAAATTTACAGAAATTTAAAAAAATTACAGAAATTATTAAAATTTCAAATATATATTTGAAAAATAGAAAATAATTATAAAACTCAAAAAAAAAATTTTTTTAATA